TTTATCAATTTGGAAGCATTTGAGCCCCTGGGAAAGTTTTGCTCCGCTGTGACAATATACTTGTTGGAAAAAAACTCGCATTTAAATCATATCGTTATTAGGTAATTTACATTTACACCCCAAAGATCTTGAAAAACTTTTGAAAGTGGATTATCAAAAACCGAGGAATTAAAGACCAGTCAGCAAATTTTTAGTGCATGAAGTCCATAAAGGACTTTTTGGTCAAATGGAATTCATAAATGTTTACTTTTCAAACATGACTGGTGCTAGATCAGAAATTTGTATAATGCTGTGCTTACCTATCATTTGCGGTAGGTTTTAAAGAAGAGAATCAAAGAAAAAACTAGTGGAGCGCATGGCATCGTGCCTTAAGGCAAATTGCTGGAACTCCCCGTACCAAAAATTTTTTTTTTTAAAAGATTAACATTTTTGAAAAAAATTTACTCTGAAAAAATTAAATTTTTTAGATTAGATTAGAATTACTTTTTTTGAAAAAAAAAGACTTTTTGAAGGAAAATTTATTTTGAAATATTTTGGAAATTCTGAACTTTTTTTCAAAGCAATCGTACTGCTTTAACTGCATAGAGACGAAATATCGAAGCGCGTAAGCGCCGCGTTGCCGTCTAACGGATAAACATTCGTACAGAACCCATAGGAATGTAAACAAATTTTATACTCTTCGTTAAAATCTCTAAAATATCTGATAATTTGATGTGCATATGTCTATGATCATTTTTGACCGCCAAATTGCATTTTTTTTACTTTTTTTTACTAGATCTCCGAAACCGCTAGACCTGCCTTTATAAAAATTTGATCAGTTCTGTATCTTGTCAATACCAGTAAAATGTTTTCTGAAATATTCAAATCGGACGCTCCATTCTCTTGAAAACTGAGATACCGTTTTTGGCAGTTTTTGCCCCATATCTTCGGAACGGCTAGACCTGCCTTAGCCAAAAACTAATCACCAAGTCTCCTTATCAATACGAATCGAATGTTTTTTGAATTATTCAAATCGCTCCATCCGTGTTCCCGAAATCGTCGACGAAAATTTGTATCCGCACACACACATACACGCGCACACACACATACATACACACACACACATACATACATCCATTTTTTCTAAGGTATGCCAAAATGTTCAGAAGGTTTTGAAACGTAAAGATATATAATTTTTTTTATTTTTTCGAAGGGTTAATTATATATTTAAACTATTATTCATAGCTATAAATTCTATTATTGTATGAAATTTCACTAATTTTGATGTTCAGCTAAATAGCTTAACACTAAACCTACCGCACGCGGTCAAATTGACCTACAATTAAAAAGTTATCTATTTTATTATATAATTCAGATAATGATTAATTTATTGTTTAATGTATATAAAATAAAAAAATCTACGAATTTTCTTCTAAATTTATTTTTATATAATTTATAAAAGAAATTATAAGAAAATAAAAAAACTACAATTAAATATTATACAGAATGCCATATGCATAATATACTATAATATATTATATTCGGCTTTCTCACATTGTTTATCAATTGTTTTAGTCTGAAATGTACATTTGAAGCAATTTTCATACATTTGACAGTGTTGATAAGAACTTGATATTCTTGAGATTTTGAATATGCATCTCCGAGTTAAAAAACTAAATAAAACAAAAATTCTTGCCTAAAAATGCTTTTACTTCTCTCTCTATAAACAATTTTTGCATTTATGCAACTAGGATCAAAGTGTTCAAATATTATTAAAGTAGCTACCTACAAATTTTCGACTTCACGTTACATTTCTTAGCTACTAGTACTAATACAAAATCTAATGGTTTTCGGTACACTTTTGGTGCTTTTTCCTATTTCTATTGGTACAAGCATTTATTCGGTTATTTTTATACACTGTGAGAGTAATGGAATTTCATTTAAAAATTTTCTTTCAACATTTGTGAATGAATTTATCAGTTTTAAAACTATCCAATTGAAGAATGGAACAATCTATCTACTTGTCATTTCCCAAATAAGGAAACCCATTTATTACATATTTACTATTGACTTTACACACCATCCAGATCATTATTCTAAATTTTTTTGGTTCATCTGATATATTTTGTATAAATCTGCACTTACATTTCAATTGCTGCACAAATTGCATTATTTTCCACCGGCCGCGGTAGTTAGGCCACATAACAATTTTTTTTTTCGGAAAATTGAATAAATAACTAAAATCAAATAGTGAAGAAAATATTATTAGTCATAGTAAAATCATGAAAATTATCATAGTTTGATGACGGTATTTTAACGTTCACCAGTCAACAATGTTTGAAACGGTCAATTTGATCGGCCTTGGTAGGTTTAGTGTTAAGGAGTCTTCAATATATCTTAATACACACACACACACATATATATATATATATATATATATATATATAGGTTAGCAACATGATGACAGTAAATGAAGTAATTCAACAAAAAACAGACAACTATAAAAGAAGAATTGACGAACATCCAAATTACTTGGCACACTAAAGTATTCTCAGAAGCGCGCCCAACCAGGCTAAAACGAAAAATTCCCAATGATCTCATAAATTTGTAAACGCTAACATTATTATTATTATTATTATTATTATTATTATTATTATTATTATTATTATTATTATTATCTTACTAGTTCTATTATTGTTATTTTGTTATATTTTATTATTTTTTTAGTATTATTTTATTATTCAGAAATTTTATTTATATTTATTCATTTTATTTTTATTATTATTTGCTTCTATTTTATATTAAATCATATTACGGATATTATTTTCATGTAAATTTTATCCTTTGCACTCTTATTTATTTTAATTTATGTTATTATTTATCAATATTGCTAGATGTTATCATTTAAATTGTTTGCACTATTTTAGATATTTTATAAAAATAGCAAATGAAATAATTTATATGATGAGATGGTTAAATGGAAGCTAGTTAAGACGAGAATTAAAATTAAAATTCAAAAGTGAATTCACTGGAATATAAATGCGTGACGTGTTTTTACGTAGAGGAAATGACCAGAAATTTTGTATTTATTAGAAATTATGATTAAAATTAGATAATTACTAGTGTTTGAGCCTTGTACTTTATTTACGTGAATTGTTTTTTGCTAGCTTTACTACATATTACGTTATAGACAAAGGTTATATTAAAGTGATTATATTTGCATTTGAAGGTAGACTCTTGATCCGATAAAATAAATACATGTACGCTGATGCAGCAAAATGCATCCCACATTTCCATAAAGTGCTGACCAGATATTGCACCTTCAACGCGTATTTGATATTGGATACTTTTAGAATTTAATTATACAATTTGTTTTTTATCGATGCTATGCCCGATTACTAGACTTTGTTTATATATATATACGAGGTCTGTTCAAAAAGTACCCGGAATTTTCGTTTTTTCAAAAAAATATTTATTTATTCGTCTACATTAATGTGGTCCCCTTCAAAGTAGTCCCCCCCAGATATAATACACTTATGCCAGCGTTTTTTCCAATTTTCGAAGCACCCTTGATATTCACTTTTTGATATGTCCTTGAGCACTCTCAGCGATTTTCTTCAATCGAGGAAAACCGCCGTCCTTTCATGGGTCTCTTCAACTTTGGGAATAGGAAAAAGTCACACGGAGCCATATCTGGTGAATTTTTGCACTTTGCAACACTTTATTTCATTTTTTACGCAAAATTTAATACAAATTCTTTGACTTTTCAATTCTTCCATTGTAAAAATCGCCGAGCTCAGAAAAACACGTCGAACCTTAGCGACTACCACAGACAAAGTAAACAGTGAATATAGCTGAAAATTTCATCATACTTTAGGGGCATGTATACCAACACAATAAAAAAAAAATTTTGACAATCAGACACTCCAGACCCGCGAAATTAATTATTAGTAATTCCGGGTACTTTTTTAACACACCTCGTATATATATATATATATATATATATATATATATATATATACACGAGTATATATATATATATAGTTTTTCACTATCGATTTGAACTTTTGGTACTGCATGAAGAGTAATCAATAATGCTAACAATATAAATTATTATTAGAATATAATATAAATATAAATTAGACGACAATATACGAAAACGCAATTAAAAGATTCTTGTAACTTGATTCTTGACCAATAATTGTTATGCATAATATAGTCTAAACTAGGAAGAATTTATTTACGTTAATGTATTTAAATATTTTTGACGGTTGCAACAAGTTCAAAAGAACTGTTACTTACCTTTTCATACTTTTAGTGAAAATATCGATTTAGAATTTTCTGTTGGACTTGTTGCACTTTTCGATAGACAGTTTTGCATGTTTTGTGAGAGGAACTTTTGCATGCAGAACAGATTAATCGGTTTGGAGTTAAACAAGTGAAAACCAATATGTTGGTAAAAATGAGCCCTTTAGGAACATAAAATTATCGTAATGCTGGATATAAATTACAACAATCTCTAAAAATATATTTTTGCGGTTTTTATCGGTTTTTAGGATTTTCAAAATTTGATTTCTATTTATTTCTAGCAATATGAAAAAAGATGGAAAAATTCTTTTGGTAACATTTACAAGCTCGTGAAAATTTAACATCTTCATTTGAAGTAATATGAATATTTTTTTTCGCTCTTATAATGTCATCCGTGGGAAATACTTGATAATTTTTTATATTTTTACGATAAATATTTGAATTTCGCCAATTTAGCTTAATTATACCACTTAATAATTTAATCTTCAATATAATTCATATTATTTAGGTACTAACCTTCCATTTGCTGCAACTAAATCTTTTGATTATTGCTTTATTTATGTTTAGTTTATTTTGAGTTGTTTTTATTGAGCTGAAAATTTGTATTATTCATTATTTATGTAGTATGCAATATTTGCTATCACGCCAACAACTTATCATATAATTTTAATTCCATTTTATTATTCTGATATTTATGTTATTTTATTTCATAGGCGCACGAGATCCCTGAATGCGCCTTCGCCAGTTCAACATTTTGGACCATGCGGCCGAATTATGAAAAACTCTGCAATGGTGATGTAAGTACGATTTTAAAAATATAGTTAAATGTATCAATCTTTTTAATTATAATATCTTATCAGCAAATAATCATTGCTTTCGCCGTTCAATTAAGAATTGATTTTTTATATCAATCCAAACAAACTCGAGTGATTCTGCGTAAACCACTGATTCGGAGTTCTATTTTCTTTGTTACTATTAATTACTAATTTCTTATAAAAATGTGGCATTTAATATAATTTATTTTAGTATAAGTGACTGTCATATTATTTACTTTTTTACTTTATAAATATACTTCTGACAGCTTTCGCACAAAATTTGCTTTTTTGTCTATTTAATATTAATCAGTTAAATATAAAAAAAGAGAAAATGTTGGACTGTTGCTTATGATTTCTCAGAAGTATGCACCGATTTCAACAGTTTAAGACTTGTTTGGTAGAATTTTAGATAACCGGTCGATCCATTTCTTCATCATTGACAGTTCAACGAAAAAAAAAACCCTCACATTTTTTTTAACGTCTGTAGGTAATTTCAAATTGCAATATATCAGTAGGTAATCATTTATACTGATTTTCACATAGGGTCCAAGGGGAGAAAGTTGAAGAATGTTTGTTCGAACAAGTGACCATTATTTCATTGCGTCAGCGCCCTACATTAGCACGATCTGTAGACCGCATTGCTTCTAAAGAGTCAAAAAATTTTTTTGTTCGATTTCTATTAATAATCATAACGACGATTTGTTTTCAAAATTGTGCGTCGGGTACGATTGTGGCATGTTGTTGTAGTTGTACTTTTCGGGTAAAGATTAAACATCGTATTTAAGGACAGTATTTCAGTATTTCCACTTTGACAAATGTTCAAATTACCATTTAATAAATGAACAAAGTTATTGCTGATAAAAAAGTGGCACAACTGTATCCAGCCTCCCCTACTGTATTTTTGGCTTTGTTTAATATTTCATACAAAACATTTTATCAAAATATGAATTTCTATTTTTGTATTTCAATAATAGGCAAATTCAGGATCCAGCTAGCCAACGCTTAACATGGTACAAACCGCCCCTGACAGTTTTAGTAGTAAAAAAAGCTAGGGATTCGAAAGTACTAGCTCCTTTCGTTCAAATGGTGCAATGGCTCATAAAGGTAAGGCACTAGTTCATATAAAGCTGTATTAAGTCAATTTATAAAACTTCTGCATTTGTTTAATGTATCACATTAATAATTTCAGGAGAAAAACATGGTAGTATTCGTAGAATCGGGAGTTATGAGCGACGCTGGATTGGCAGATAATGAAAATTTTCAATTAATTCGAGAAAAATTGATGACATTCAGGTGATTTATTACTGCATATTGTATTTCGTTTATTTATTGACATTTTCACATTGACTGATATATAATTAATCATTTTTAAGCATTTGAAGACTAACAAATATTTATTTTAGCTCATGTTACTTAATAACTTGAACTCTAAACATTCCAATGATATACCATCAGGGCAGCACTACTAAAATGAACACCTTGAATTAAAATAATTAATTGTTTCTTTGTGATTTTTTTTAAAGATTAGTATTATCAAGGCCGGTAGACGAGGCCATATAAAAACGTAATGACATTTCATTTTTGTGCGAGACAAGCACATGGTTTTTGCATAGTATTTCGAAGTGTTTCAAACAATGAAAAAAATTCATGCTAAGATGTTATGGTCTTATACTAATTAAATTTATATATCACAAAACTTCTGCAATTATAGTCACAGAACCCACCTTCTCATTCATGAAATAATTGTGAATTTGATTCTCGTATAGTTTTTTCTAATTTTGATTTTACAATGTTTTTTTATTGGATAGTTTACTTTACTTATACTATCCAATTCTACTTCATCTCAAACCAACAATTCAAATTCTTCTCATCTTCAATGTAATAAATAGATTGACAATTCTATATCAGTGCTAGAACTCGAACTGGGTATTCCTGGTGTGGAAGACGGGCTCGCTACTGATAGCCATTTCCGCAATAACTATGTCTTGATTATCTTATTAACTTCCCGAAGGAGAAGTTTATGTTCTCATCAAAAAATCCGACTCGCTAATTTCATGTTTTCTCGACGTTTCAAGCCATTCTGAATCGAATGAGACCAAATTTGGAAAAAGTATGTTTGTGTGTGTGAACAAATTTTTTGTCGTAAATCGACGTTTTCTCCAAAACGGATGGACCGATTTCAAAAATTTAAAAGCCATTCGATGTATCTCGATGAGGACTACCGTTTCTGAGTGCGGCGATCGGCCGAGCCGTTTCTTTGTAAATTGCAGAAAAGTGAAAAAAAATTCATCCACGTTTTAGCCCGCAATTCTGAATCGATTTTGAAAATTCAAAAACCGTTCGAAAGATATTGGTTGGGAATGGTGCAGTGAATTGTGCAGTACTACCCATTACCTACACACACATATAACTCAAATTTTTTGACATTTTTATAACTTTTCTTATCCGTCTCACTCTGATTTGGCGGTCGTCTAACATCACTTCATAATCTTCATTGCAATGTTATCGTAAGAAGTCGAAGTTTTTGGTCGTTCCGGAATAATGTTTGTCTCTGAAGCTCTTACGGCCGCGTTTAAATTCAGCTCCTAAAATTTCACTGTAATAAATGATGGTGCAGAGTCCCTATGTCCAGAGACCAATTCATTATTAATTTGCGTAGGCATATTGCCTTCCTAAAACAAATGTTTAATAGCAGCTCAATACTGAATTTTCTCCATTTTCACAAAACACTCACATGTACTTACCAATTTTGGTAAGGAACTGCTAAAAGATGCACAACTACATTCACCATAGACTGAGAGCCAGTGAACCTTTTGAATAACGGTGTTCCTGTAAGGCTGAAAATTTTTGTACAGGTGATTCTTAACGTGCTAAGTACGGAAACGACGGTCTGGCAGGATTTAGCCCTGCACATCATGGTCGTCCAGGCGTTTGAAAGTGTAAAAAACACCCGAAAATTAAACTTGTTCCTGTAAGGTTCAAATTTTTATACGATGTAATTTACTCATTGAGAAGTTCGAAAATCAATCTGCCAGACTATTTCGACCTGCACAAGTACCTGTCAGACGAGCCGGAAAGTGAGCAAAAAATGCCCCAAAATAAACTTTGTCCTGTAAGGATGAAATTTATATATGTGTTTATCTAAGCAATTCTAAAAAGGTCTGTGCAAATGCCAAACCATTCTGGCTAGCATAAGCCCTTGCCAGACGAGGGCAAAAATGCTATGGCGGGAGGGCGAATAATAGGCGTTGCGTTAAAACTTATAGCATATATTCAAACTATGTTATGAGAAATTACAAATTATGGTCAAAATAAATGTAATTAGTATATATATAATATCATATGTACCTATATATAATATAATATATCATGAATTAATCATTATTATCAGATATATCGCTAATTAATTCTTTATCGTCATAAGATTCGGCATTGTTGACTTATCGTCTATAAAAAAACAAATATTAAATATATTAATAATATAATATATAAAATATTACAAATTTAAAAATTTTAACATTACCGCATATGTGTTGATCAGCTCCGTTTGCATCCTCCTCAGTAATACGAGAAGGATGTTGTGATATTATTTAAAAAATTGAAGAAGGAACGGTATCTCCCATAAACCAATTGAAATCAAATATTTTTTCAATCAATATCCAGCCAGTATTTTGAGGTTTAAGAATTGTTGGTACTTTTAAATGACTATTTGAAAACTATATCAACTCGTGCAGCATATGAGCTGCCGTTAAAATAGACATTATTTTTTCGAAATATTACCAAATGTTTTTAGTATATTTTGCATTGAATGCAGTAAATAAAATCCATCGAAAACAACAGCATCATACCAAATTGTTTCGTTATCAGTTATATTTGCTTGTAAGAAAGAGTCGACGCACTGTCGTCTACGGTCTACGGTCTACGCTCGTAGCAGGTAACCGTCAAGTTGCCTCGCACAAACGTTCATAGTTAAAAATATGCTTTTTGAATTTAAATTCGTACTTTAATGGTACTAAATAAGTTATGAAAATCCGTTACCACAAACAGAAATACTTTCGATCAGCGATTTGAGAAAGCTGCCCACAGTTTTTCAAAAATGAGATATAATCGCCGTTATCAAATGCAATGACATTTTTCGAATATTTTTGTAGCTTTTATAAATTTTGTTATTTATAGTGACAGCAAGGATGACCTGACTGATAAAATAGATTTTATTGTATGTTTGGGAGGTGATGGAACGCTGCTGTACGCGAGTTTGTTGTTCCAGCAATCAGTTCCACCTGTGATGGCATTCCATCTTGGGTCCTTAGGATTCTTAACTCCATTCAAATTTGCTAATTTTCAAGAACAGGTTACTGCGGTTTTGGAAGGTAGGCTTACTTATGACGTTCTATAAAAGAATAATATTTTAATCTTGCACGTTATATCGCAAATATCGTAATATCGTATTCACAAGTAATATATAATATTGTCTTATTAAGTGATCAATATTTTTATGTGCAGGCCACGCGGCCCTTACGCTTCGTAGCAGACTCCGCTGCATAATTCTGCGCAAGACAGCATCCGGAGAAGCGCGGGAACCCACCACTAATCTTTTAGTTCTTAATGAAGTTGTGATAGATCGTGGTCCATCTCCCTATTTATCTAACATTGATCTCTATTTAGATGGTAAACACATCACTTCTGTTCAAGGAGACGGTAAGACAATTTTTTTGGCATCTACCATTAAGATTAATTTGAACATAAATTCCGATTTATATGAAAACTTGAAAGAGTTATCAGGTTTTATAATACTATTTAACTGCATTTTATTGAACAAATATTTATATCCGTGATATATTTGTGTTATTACATTTCCGCCATGGTGGACAATTTACATTATACAACAGAAATTAATTATAGGTTATACACACACTGTTTTTGCTTTTATTACTGATTACTTATTCTTTTACGAAACTTTCTAATTATTCTAAAATATCAAAATAAGAAAAAAATACATTCAAAGCATGCACTGGAATGAAGAATATATGTTTCGAGCTGAGATCCTGAGTCCTTTCTCTTCGAGCTACAAAGTTGGTATTTAAAGTTACAGCAAAATGTCTTATTTTGCATTGCATTCAGCTTAAAAAAGCGTTATACAAAATCAGCACTCGTAGCTTTTAAAGTAAATATATTACTTTCTATTATATTATTATTACTGTATTTAAGAATATCCATGTTTAATGTAAATTTAATTTTGGTATATAAGCACATTTTAAAACCCATACTTCACATGCTTGCATTATTTATTTCATTTTAAATACTATGGAAAAATATGAAAAAAAATTTTTGGACATTCTTCACAATTAATATCATAAATAGTATAACTTACAAAGGCCTCAATATGTACAACATATTGATTTTTTATTGACAATCAATAGTTCGGTAGTTTAAGTTCACGTATCACGTAATCACGTATATATTATGATTTTTTCAATTTACTTAACTTACGGAATGAAATAAAATATAGCTCAAATTATGATTAAGTAAGTAAAAAAGTTTTCGTATATGTTATCATACTTTTACTTATTTGGGTTTGAAGTGAGCGGTCACAGAAAAGTTTCTTACAGGACCTGCTTTTTAGTGGTAAACTAATTGGCAACGGCAGATAATAACATTATAAACTCTGTTGTATTATATAACAATGTAAACGAATCGTTAGTTATATTTTTGTTTGGGGTGTTCATATGTATGGATTTTTTTGTTGTTGAGAAGGTGGTCACACCTCCTTGAGAGTTGAGAATTCTTAACAACAAAAGTGCCCTCTATTACTTCTACTCACTACTCAATTCAACTTCGTTATCCTTTCTTCTTGGGTAATTTTTAGCCTTAGCGATCTATTAGTTTTTTTGTGACCGTTACGCTAAATAACGGTCCTAATCGATACAAGATTAAGTTTATTCGCTAGAATAGCGGTGTTAAGGAAACTTTGATATAGAAAATCGAAGAGACTTGCGTGTGTAAATGAAGGTAAATGGTAAATGCGAAGGTGTATGCGGTGGTTGTCATGTAGATTCAGTTAAACCACTGCTACCCCAAATCCATAACACCCTCAGTGCGATGATGCGTTCTTGACGGTACTTTTGGGTTACTAGTAGAATTGTTATATCTATTATCTCTAACGGCCCTACTATTTATTTTTATTTATTCTCAATCACAGTCGTTGTGAAGGATGTCGCATACAATATCATTAGCCAACTGGAACGCGATCCCATAGATATCATCTGGTATATTCTACATTTGGATTTGATTTTTTAAATACTCACATATTATGGACTGTTTTAGTTTTAGAAGAAATAATTTTGAATAAGTATTACATTTATATTTCTTGGTAGGATTAATCGTGTCCACTCCTACCGGCAGTACGGCATATGCTGTGGCAGCTGGCGCTTCTATGATTCATCCGTCTGTTCCTGCTATAATGGTGACGCCAATCTGCCCGCATTCGCTCTCTTTTCGGCCTATTGTCGTTCCAGCAGGAGTTGAGCTCAAGGTAGTTCGACTCATTTATTTATCAGTGACACTAAAAATGTATTGTTTTCTTACATTTTCATGTCATTCAAATTTAAATGAAGTAAAACGTTAACTCAACCTATTTCTTTTTCTTATTGACTCAAAAAATGCTGCATATAAAAATTTGCTATAGCCCATTTATTCTCTTGTTTTTTATATCTCAATATATTTACTTATTATCAAGAAATAATTAGGCATTTATTATTTATTAATAATATTGTCATCACTTAGATTTCGATTTCACCGGATAGTAGAAGTACTTCGTGGGTATCCTTTGATGGAAGAAATCGTCAAGAATTAACTCATGGTGATAGGTAAGCAAGATACATAACTAAATGCTGTTTTTGGTTATAAACTTGAAATATCATAGTTATTAACTTCCCGTAGGGTAAGTTATAGTAATCGCCAAAAAATCAAAAATGTTTTTTTTTTATATATCTTTACGTTTCAAAAGTTTCTGAACATTTTGGCATACCATAGAAAAAATTGATGTATGTGTGTGTGTACGGATACAAATTTTCGTCGACGATTTCGAGAACACCGATCAACCGATTTGAATAATAGAAAAAACATTCGGTTTGTAATAAGGAGACGTGGTGATTAGTTTTTGGCGGAGTCAGATCTAGCCGTTCCGAAGATACGGTGCAAAAAGTGCCAAAATTGGTAACTCAGTTTTTAAGAGAAAACCGAGCGATTTTAATAATTCAAAAAACATTTTGCTTGTATTGACAAGATGAAGAACTGATCAAATTTTTGGGTCTAGCGGTTACTCTCAATAAAAATAAGTAAAAAAAAGTCAATTGGTGGTCAAAAATGTTCGTTGGACATATGTACATCAAATTATCAGATATTTTATAGAGATTTTAATAATGTGTACACATTTTGTGTCAATTTTTTTGGGTTTTGTATCAAGATTTTCAATTTTGTAACGTATATATGGTTCAAACAAATGTCCTCGTCATTTTCGACAGTATGATCACAGTTCGATTTGATTAATTTAGAAGCATTCGATTTGTATTGATAAGTAGACATCCTGATTAGTTTTTAGGTATAGGCAGGTCTAGCCGTTTCGAAGATGGTAATTCAGTTTTTGAGAGAACGGATCATCCGATAATTCAAAAAACATTTTGCTTGCGTAGACGGTGTGCAAAAAATGCTTTTACAGAAAATTTCGTAATGTTTAAAATCTTCAAAAAAAAATGAAAATTATCAAAAAAATTCAAATTTTTTATCATTTTCAAAAAGACTTAATTTTGGAAAATTTCAAAAAACAACAAAATTTAGAAATAAAACTATTTTTGGCAAAAATTTGAGAATATTTAGAAATTTTCAAAAAATTAGGATATTTTCAAAAATTACTAAAATCTCAAAAAATTAAAAAAACGTTTTTTTTTATTCAAACTTCTAAAAAAAATTTCAAAATTTTGAAAAAAATTCTAAATTATCAAAAAAAATCAAATTTAAATGAAATGAACTTTATGAAATTTAATGACATGAATGAATGAAAAGTTTATGTATTTATAATATATAATCTATTTAAAATTATTCAAAACAATTGTTGATTATTTTTAATAATGGTACGAGAAGTTCCAGCAATTTGCCTTAAAACACGACGCCATGCGCCCCACTAGTTTTGTTTCTCATGCCTCAATTTTATTTCTGAATAAGTAATAAGATGTGTAATAGTACTTAATTATAATTTCCAGTCTACGCGTGACGACATCGGCGTATCCAGTGCCAAGCATTTGCTCGCAGGACCAGATCTCTGACTGGTTCGACTCGCTGGCGGAATGTCTCCATTGGAATGTGCGTAAGCGGCAAAAGTGTCTGGACGAACTCTCCGATCTTACTGGATCTGTGTCCGACGACACGTTCGACGATTTAGATCGCACCGAGAACTTAGATTTATACTAAATATTGTCCGAATATTCGATTCAGCGCTGCTGTGTTTATCATTTTCTTTGTTTGGCTGTAAGAATGTATATAAAATAATTATAATATTATGAATATCGCAATCGCGACCGTTTTCCATGTTTAGTTTGTAGGTGTTGGGACCAGTACAAAATCAAGATTTAATGAAATCTTAAATATTTATAAATTCGTTATATTGTACATATGTGCGGAGCCTTGCGTGCGCTGAACAAGAAATCTGAATAAAAATAGATATCTAAATAATAATATAAAAATTAAAAGCATAAGTTTATTGTCAACGTCTTGGAACTTGGTATTTAATGCTCTGTTTTTCTGTATTTATTAGAAAACAAAAAAAATGCCAAATATGTAACTAAACAGAATAGATTATACAAAACTCACAAATGGCACTCACTATAGCACACTGAATAGTTAACAATAACATATTTTCTTTCTTTTTTTAAAATCCATTTAAAGTCTAACCAACAAATGTAATTAAAATAAAAATAATACTTGCTTTTGTGCTTGCAACTATATAAACAATGATTATTGATTCACATTGTGACAATCTCACATGATATATAATTAATTCTTTTTAGTTTTCTAATAAATTCATTTAAAATAAATACTTGAAAAAAACTGGAAAATAGTTAATTTGTATTAGATATTGTATATTTAATGGAAATTTGTAGGTGGAGCATACCTATAGTTCTGTAATGACAAAAATAAACATATTTTTTTGTATTATTGTAAATTTCTTTGGATACGAATTATGCCTGTGCATACGGAACTGTGTGAACAGAGCATATGTTGTACTTCATACTAAAATAGGAAAATTATTACAGTAACACTTTTTTGTTAACTAAAATTTATGTATATCAATATTATGTTCATTGAAATATCAATGAATATTAAAAATGTATTACTGTTTACACTTATATAAAGGTTATCATGAATATATTTTATTTATTTCTACTAATTATGTGTTTCTATTACCAACAAATTTCTGAAGCAAGTCAAATCTAGTGCGTCATTGGAGTGTTTTCAAAATTTACTGAATTGATTTAGTCTTTGCAATGAGGATATGTATGATAAAATTTGGTAGTAAAATTTTCTGAAGCAAGCCAAATCTAGTGCGTCATTGGATTGTTTTCAAAATTTACTGAATTGATTTAGTCTTTACAATGAGGATGTGTATGATAAAATTTGGTAGTCAACATCACTTGCAAAATATAGTTATTAATAAGACATCGATCCCTTTAGAGATTGCCCTATTGAAGTAAGAAATAATAGTAATGTATAGTAAGAAAATAATAGTAATGTATAATGTAATAGGGTATGACGTAATAATAGAAAATCATCACATTAGGACTCTACCAGTGACATAATCAACGGCTACAAAATGCTTCACAAAAATAAATGCATCATGTAATATACATAATATATAAGAGTCAATATATCATATATGTATATGAGCTATATATTTTATATGAACATAAATATATGAACATACATATACACACTTGCACATACCAATATGTACACCAATTTGAACATGCACATTTGATTGTGTTTTATAAGTGCTCATATCCATACTTATATATTTACATATACATATTTTAATATGCATATGTAACTATAGTAACAAATTTCATTATTGAATCATCTTTGTACTAACCATAAATGCATCGCTGAGCAATTCAAGAATTTTTACATAATTTATATTTACATAATTAATACATTTTTTGTTAACCGCCTAATCATTATATTCTAACAAGTAAGTGATTTTTTTTTCGAGCACCTAAGAAAAAAAAGAAAACTAGTTCAGTTATTTGTAGTAAGTTTAGCTTGCCCGCATGCTATTTTCTTTCTAGCATGCTCATTTATTTTAGGGATTTTATGCCATTTATTTTATTGAGCAAATCAAGCCAAGGAAGCAAAAAAAATCTAGCCTTTCATTATTAAATATAACACTCGTACTTTACGTTGAATTTTTTAAATTCAAGTTTTTATTATTTAATAATTCAAAACTGCGTCTTAAACTTCTTCTAATTGATATCGTAACAACCGAATTGTATTTTTATCTTTACATTAACATGGTGTACCAGATTGTTATTTTAAGGTTTTAACGTATTTTAAAAATATTTTTCGAAGATTAGTAGAAGATGCAAAGAAATTATATATTTCTTGAATGATATTGAAAGAACTATTATAATAATTTTATATCCGAATGTCGTGTTGGTGGCGCTCCATAAGGCGTTCGCCCGCATTTTTCGCATGCATTGCATTCAAGATAGGACCGGCCCTGGCAATACGAATTGTATCGCTATAAAATCACAAAATAATAAGGTGTCATGTTGACTTGTGACAGCCCAAACCATAGTTCTAACATGTGCTTTTTAGGTTAATTATAACTGTTTCATGTATATTTTTTATTTCGCTTTGTAGTGATAGTAACTAAAATGATTTTTTTGTGAAATACTGCTACATCACACATGATATCAAAATTTGCATTATTTTAAAAACGCGTTTCAATGCTATGGAATCAAATGCAGATGGCGCATGAATTCATTGTTATCACTTATATAAGATGCATGAAAATCAGAAAATAGTGGCGCAATGACACACAATGTGATGTTACAGGTAAAATGAAATGAGTTAATCAGATGATACATTAAATGAGTTTTTTTTTTTAAATTATAACTTGTATAGTTTATTCCTCAACGTATGGATGAAGCGTTGGGATATGGCCATCATAAATTTTATGAAACCTACGATACATTAGCAAATAATGGGTCTGCAACGCTTCATGGCTTTGAGCAGAGGCGGATACACTGGTGTTCCTGTCTGAAGCGAGGACTGGATCAGGATTTCGATATCTTTTATGGTAACGATTAAAAGTCAGTTTGAATTAGTTATAAGTGGCATTTTATAAGGTGTTCGCACAACTATTTGACAGAAACAAACGGTCTTTTCACATCTTCATTGCGAATCTAAAGTTTTTTAATTTTTCTTAGGGTAAGGTATGTTATAGTAATTGCAAACTTGTGGGGCGCATGGCATCGTGCCTTAAGGCAAATTGCTGGAACTTCCCGTACCGTAATTAAACATTCGAGGAATGACAAAACAATCAATAATTGTTTTGAAGATTTTCAAATAGATTATTTATTATAAATGCATACTGTAAATTTATAAGTGCTTTTTAATTTAGGTGATGAGCGTATTTTATAAACAACTTATGTGTACGTTTACAAGAGTCCATTTTTTTAAATTAGTTTTTTTTGATAATTTAGAAATTTTTTGATAATTTAGAAATTTTTTGATAATTAGATTTTCGAAGTTTAAAATTTTTGGAATCTAAAAAAACGTTTTTTAAATAATTTGAGAATTTGGAAATTTTTGTAAATATTATATTTTTTTTTTATTTTCGAAAAATTCTCAAATTTTTGTAAGAAATCGTTTTTTTAATTATCCGAAATTCAGTTTTTTTTTGAAAAGGATGAATAATTTTGAAAATTTGAATTTTTTGAAACTTTGAATTTTTTTTTGAAAATTTTGATTTTTGTTTTTAATTTTCTAAATCACTAACTTTCTGTAAATGCATTTTTTGCACACCATCTACTCAAGAAAAATGTTTTTTGAATTAATCTAATCGGATAACCCATTCTCTCAAAAACTGCATAACCGTTTTCACACACTTTACGCTCCATACCTCCGAAACGGAAAAATTGCCTTTTGCAAAAACGCCTCGCAATCGAGTACGAACCGAATGATTTTTTAATCATACAAATTGTTTATTCCATACTGTCGAAAATGTCGAGGACATTTGTTTGAACCATATAAAAAAACTTCAAAATTAAAAATCTTGGTACGGAACCCAAAAAAAATTACACAAAATGTGTACATAATATTAAAATCTCTATAAAATATCTGATAACTTGATGTACATATGTCCAATGAACATTTTTGACCGCCAAATGACATTTTTTTAAATTATTTTTATTGAGAGTTCATAACCGCTGGACCTGCCTTCCCAAAAATTCTACCAATTATTCATTTCGTCAATACAAGTAAAATGTTTTTTGAATTATTGTAATAATTCTCCGCACGCTCCGTTCTCTTAAAAACTGAGTTACCGTTTTTGGCACTTTTTGCCCCGTATCTTCGGAACGGCTAGACCTGCCTCTGCCAAAAACTAATCAGCACGTCTCCTTATCAATACGAATCGAATGTTTTTTGAATTATTCAAATTGCTTCATCCGTGTTCCCGAAATCGTCGACGAAAATTTGTATCCGCACACACATACATACACGCACACACATACATCCATTTTTTCTAAGGTATGCCAAAATGTTCAGAAGGTTTTGAGACGTAAATATATATAAAAATTTTCATTTTCGATTTTTTTGCGATTACTATAACTTGCCCTACGTTCGGGAAGTTAAAAAACAATTTACTTGTAATGACGGAATGAAAAATTGACTAAAATTTTGAAGGCAGTTGCAGGGGTTTCGGAGATCCAGAAAAAAGTTGAATAAAAACACCATTTTGTGGTCAAAGATGATCATTGCGCATATGCAAATTAAATTATTAGATATGATATAAGATTTTTAATTTTTAAATTTCACTTATATGGTTGAATCAAATGTCCATGATATTTTCGACAGTTTAGAGTTTTAAACTAATCGATTTGAATGTTTCAAAAACATTCGGTTCCTAATGGCCGCGAGATGTACTATTTAGTTTTTGCAAAAGACAGGTACTGACCGTTTCGATGGTACAGAGCGCAATGGGTTCACAAAATGTTCGTGTAGTTTTTGAGAGAACGGATCATTTGATTAGAAAGATTCAAAAAACATTGCTTATGTTGATGGTGTGACGAAATTATTAGTTTTTGAGAAAGGGCAGGTCCAACATTTTTTTTTTTCAAAAATTCGAAAGTATTCAAAAAATTTGAAAATTTTCAATGAGTTTAAATTTTTGCAAAAAATAATTTGTCGAAAGAGTATTATTTCATAATCTTGGTTCGATTAGGTTTTATTTAAGCATATGTTTTCATGTTTTGTCAAAATAAATATGTTTGAATACGTTCGTCGCCTAATTTAATAAAATAAGCACTTACAAATTTATGGTACTGGTAATATTTTATTTCAAAATATTGAAAATAATTGTTAAAATGATTTATCAATTTTCACGGATTATTTTTATTACTCGAATGTTTAATTATGATAAGTTAAGGCACGATATTATGCACCACTAGGTTGTTATTGCGACAGCGTGTCAGAAAAACTTAATCCAGACATGCGTACGGATTTAAAATAATTGATTTCCCGTGGGGCAAGTTATAGTATCGCAAAAAAAACGTTTACGTTTTAAAGGTTTTTGAACATTTTGGCATACCTTGATGTATGTGTGCGTGTGCGGATACAATGTATTGTCGACGATTTCGTGAACACTGATCAACCGATTCGATACAGGACAAAAAATGCCAAATATGGTTCGACGATTTCGGGAACACGGAGCAACCGATTTGAATAATTTAACTAGCTGTAAGTGGAATTCTGTCTTAAGGCAATTGAGGCATCGTGCCTTAAGGCAAATTGCTGGAACTTCCCGTACCGCA